CTCCTGCTCCTTCTCCTGCTCCTTCTCCTGCTCCTCATCCTCCTGCTCCTCATCCTCCTCCTGCTCCTCCTCCTGCTCCTCCTCCTGCTCCCCCTCCTTTTCCTCTTTGTCCTCCTCTTTTTGCTCTGGGTCTGGAGGGAGGCAGAAGTCCTGTTTTTTGCTCCAGGGTTTTTTACTTTCCATGTAAGAGGAGAGCAGAACGATGGTTTTCCCGGGCATGGGGGGCACGTTGTAACGGCAGGAAATCTGAACCGCCGTCTCCAGAGCTCTGCGGTAGTGGTCCAACAGCTCCACGGTGAACTTCCTCTGACTGACACAGACACAGGAGAGCATCTCACGCCTTGGCTTCTTACAAATTAATCAAAAAGCAACACCTGCCTTCAATATGATATATATAAAAAATTCCTTCAGTTCAACTGTATTTTATGATGTTCCTTTTAAACATCAGACTGTAAAATGCATTTAAATAAAATAAAATGTCAGAAAACACAACATGAAACTGCCTTACTTTTTTAGGTGCTGGGCCTTCTTCATCTGGTACATTCGGTAGATTGACGGCACCCTCAACGTCGCCTTCATTCGGCTCTTCGCACACTTGTCCCACGCCTGCTTTTTGAAGCGTTTGCCCAGGGGGATCTTCCTCAGGACGCTCAGCAGGATGTCTTTGTTGGCGGGCATCGCGTTCTGCGTCACAGAGGCTGCCGCACAAAGGGGTAAAGAGGAGAGGCTCAATCTGAGCTCTCAGGCCTTTTCGTCTCTCAATCATTTGCTTTACTGGCGGTGTTTCCTTAAACAAGCTTTTATGCATTTGGATGTAAAGCACTTTCCATTTTTTAATAGGTGCTATTTCCATATAGTACACTTAAGTCTGGTCCTTTTCTCCAAACTATCTTAACTGTCCAGTGTTCGGGCCGTAAGGGAATTCCCTCATAAATGACGGTGCCCTGTTTCCTATACTGAAACAGACACAAAGCTTATTTACATCATTTCACCCAGTTGGGACACTAAAATGAAGGAGGGAAACATCTGGAAGGCAGCCACAGACTGCACGTGCAGGGCAATCGTCTGAAACCAAAACCAGGCAAAAAAAAAAGGGGCTCATGTAAGCAGCAGCTCTTAATGAACGTCTAAACCTTAGATGGAACGTCCGTTTTCGTCACTTCAGAGTTTCTACCAGCAGAACGAATCAACCCTCATGACCCACATAAAAGCTCTTCCTGTTCTCTGGGGCGTCTCACCCAAAGTGTGCAGCTCCATGATGACTTTGTAAGCAGCGAGGAACCTGAAGGGAAACTGCCTGCTCTGAACCACTGCTTTCTGTAAACACACACAGCACAACACGGCATGTTTAGACAGGAAGCCAAACCTGAGGGAGACGGCACGCTCGCTGCCGGCGGCCCACACCTGATTGGTCAGTCTGCTCAGGATCTTCCTGTGATGCGTCTCACTGATGCCTTCGGTGATCATGTTTCTCAGGTTCCTCAGCATGGCCATGAATGGGAGAGACTTATCGTCTGGATAATGGACACACAGTGGGAACTTTTAGTCTTTGATCTTTTGAATGTCGCGTGAGGAAAACTAAGGCCTTTCAACATGCCAAATGTGAGACTGAACCTCTGAACCAGAGGGGGAAATTACAGGTTAATAATGATAACTCTGAAGAAGAGAGACACATTTTTCTGTGATGAATTATGTTTGCTGTCATCAGCGGCTCCGGACTGCATGCCTGAGCATGAAGCTCGGTTCGACGCCACGCTGGAGCTGTGAGTTCTGTGTCTGACCTATGAGCTTCTCCCAGGTGGCGGCGTTGTTGCCCTCAGCGCTGAGCAGCCGTTCCCACGTCTGTGGCTCCTTGAGCTTCATCCGCTGGCCGGCTTTGTCTGGATCCCATGTCCCCTTCATTCCACTGCGGGTGAACGCCTTCACGTCGCCGGGATACCTGCGAACACACACACACACACACACACACACACGTCTCTTCAGCTAACCTTTAACTCACCAGCAACTTCAGCTTTTTTTAATGACCATTTTTCATGGGTGAAAAAAGGGGAAATAACAATCCTTAAACAAAGCTCCTGTGTGAGTGTCAATAATTTCTGGAATTCATAAAGAGATACTAAAGTATTTTATCACAAAACAGATTTTAAGCTCCCAGGGAACAGCTGGAATACCAATGTTGACACATTAGTATCATCCTCATTGTTGGCACGCTGAAGAGGCCTCAAGCTGAGGATGCTCAGTTGAACACTCAAGGCTCGGTTTTTGCTCTAAAGATTGTTTTTTTTTAAATAAGTGTGGGAACCCGCAGCAGGGGCTTTGGCGAATGAGTAAATACACAGCTTGTACAAACGGGCACAAGTTGAAACGTTTATGGTGAGAAACGAAACTGATTGTGTGATGGAAAAACAAGCCAACATGGTCAGAGCTGGAAAGTGGCACAACAGAGACAGGTAGCAGACAATAAGTAGGACACTGCGCTTCAGTTCGTGGTGGCTTCAGATCTCCACTGACAAACTACTTTTCACCTTTAAATTCACTGATGGTTCAACGCTGTTTAACAGGGGGCTTATTCAATTAAAAAAACATTACTTGAAATCGTGAACCAGCTTTGATCAATAACTGTTTAAACAGTAAAGCATATTTCAACCATTTGTTAGAAATAAAACTGGTGATTATGTACTTGCTTGTGTGTGTACAGTGAACATCAGCCCACTTGAGTCAGCAGGACTCTGTGTGACACTTACTTCCTACCAAGAATGGCCATAACATGTTCGGCAGGTTCCTTAATGTGAAGCTTCTCAATCAGCTTCTTCATGCTGAATTCCCTCTGCTTTTTGTCCACCACCGTCGCCTTGCTTTCCACCTGCAGCTGCACACAGACACACTTTTACTGAGCCTAAAACAGCAGCGGCTGAAGGGTTCTGACTAAAAAAGAACATTATTCTTCATGTTTTTTCAGTTATACGGCAGGATTTGACAAATTCTTTTCAATAAACGTCCAAGGAAATGGTCATCTAATAGTGACACGGCTTTTAAAAACCACCAAAATGCTCATTCACTGAAAGTAAGTGAAACAACTTACAAACTTCTTCAGAATGGAGGCGTCGGATCGGAGCAGGGTCGCCCACTGTTTCAGCTGCTCTTCACTCGGTTTCTAGAAATCATAAATATCGACGAACAAAAGAACCGAGCCATCAGCGGATGTGTGACCCATGGATGACTGATCACAGTTAGAAGAGCTGGTGTGATGGAGGCTGTACCTTTCTTTTAGGCTTCTTGCTGTGTTTGCAGCGGTGTTTGCGTGTGTTATATTTGGCCAGCTGATACTCGCTGAACTGCTTGAACTTGTCAGCCATTGCTTTCTTGATGCACATGGGCAGAGAGCGGCTGAAACACTGGAGAAAAATAAATCAACAATGTTGTGAAAGCAGAACTTGAACACATAGACGGTCACACTGTACAACAGATGCTCGCAAAGACTTACTGTACTGTAGATTCTGACCACTTCCAGCCAGTCAGAGGGCAGCTGCACGGCAGCGCAGAAGAACCGGCGCACATGAGGCTTGGTTAGAGGCAGATTGGCAGCCAGGGCCAATAAGAAGTTTGCAGTGATGCGAATGTTTAACTCCTGTCTGGTGTAAAGTGCCACCTGTGTCGGAAACAAGTAACAAACAACATATATAATATGCTGACCAAATGTCAAGTCTTTACTTTGTCCTTTTGTGCTTTATTTTTCTGCTTTGCTGACAGGCCAGCAAAGATCAATGAGTCTGTGTTCATGGAAAAAGATTATATCGCTAAAATGTGAAAATAAAAAAAAACGTCTCATTTATTTGAATCAGGTGTGATGGAAGAGGGAAACTTGGAAAGCATGCTGGGCAGTGTGCCTGAGAGAACCAGGGTAGGGAAACACTGGTCCAGACATGATGGGAGAGGGTGATGAAGACGCCCTGTCCCCACAGAACATGCTACAAACACACCTTGAGAAGAAACTGTGGATCAGAGTCAGAAATGTCCTTGGCCAGGCCTATGATGGTGGTCCAGACACTGTCTTCTGAGTCCCACTCCTCTTGGCCAGGAGCTTTGCTCTGATGGACCAGGGAGCAGCACACGGCATTTAGCAGATTATACTGAAGGACAGACAGGCAGAAAATCGAGGAGTGAGATCTCTGATCAGCTCACAGGAACATGACGCTAAAACCGCACTGACAATTTTATAAGGAAAACTGTAAAAAAACCTTTTTATCTTTTAGCTCCTCCTCCGATTTTTTATTTCCTCTATCAATTCCGGCAAATTCATTTTGTCTGACAAACACTGCATTTTCAAGGTCCTGGTTGCTCATTTCCATGTCCAGGACGGGCAGCTCCATAGCTGTCCCGGCATCGGCCGCCGCCTCCCCCATCTCATCACCAGGCGAACCGTCATGTTCATCAGATTGCTGCCAATGTATTTAAAGTCATATTAAAACATTAGCAGACATGTCAATAACATCAAAGATAATGCTAAAAAAACGACAGTCATAGCAGTTGAGCTTATTTGATTTAACAAAATTCTCATGTACCACACTGGTTCCTTCATAAGAAGACATCGTGTCTTCAGATACTTCCTTTTTGTCTTCATCCCCTCCATCATCCTGCTTCTGTAATCCTCCCAGACCAGGATGCAGTACCGAGGGAGGGTTAGCAAGGCAGCTGAGCTGACCACTGCTGCCCAGAGATGTGGACAGCATAGCATTTTTGGTGACAGAAGAGGTCAAAGGAAAGGAAAGAGCAGGTAAATCAGTGAGAAGCTTATTCTCGGTGCTGAGGAGGGGTGAGGTGAGGAAAGCTGCAGAGGAGGAGGTGGAGAGGAGGGAGGAGGAGGTGGAGGACAGTCTGGAGGGCTGTAGAGATGCACAAGATGGAGACTGCCCTGCAAAGTTTTTTATCGAAGAGCAAGATTGAGCCATCGTCACGGAGTGCTGAGCTAAAATCTTATTCTCCAGAATTGGAGAAGAAAAGTTGGAGGACAAGCTGCTCCCGTAGGAGGCTGGCTGCTGCTGCTCGGCTTGGACCGGGTTGGCCTGCCGCAAAGCCAGTGCCCTCATCTGCAAGAAGAAGCAAATGAAAGCATCAGAGCTCCTTCTGTCTAACGCAGGGCTGTCTAACGCAGGGCTGTCTAACGCAGGGCTGTCTAACTCCGGTTTTAGAGGTTTCCCTGGTTCGACACCTCTGATTCTGATGGAGTGGATCAGTTCAAAGGCTCTGTTCAAGCCTGATAATGGCGTGCTGACATGAATTGGGTGTGCTGAAGCAGGGAAACTTCTAAAACCGGCAGGACAGCGGTCCTCCAGCGCAGACTTTGGACTGCCCTGCCCTAATACTGGGTATGAAAGGAAGGTAGGGCAGCTTTCCACACACTTCCGGGTCCTGACAATTGTTGCACTCAAGATAAGGCTAGGTACGTTTTAGGTGATTAAAGTAACTATTTCCTGACGTTATATTCCTCCTAATAAACTCTGTGTGTAATTATCAGACTCTTCCCTAAATTGAGCAAGCACTGACCCAGGTGAAGAGACTTCCTTATTCCTCTCTAATCTAATAACTCCTGTAATGACGAGTTTTCATACGCCTTCTTGTTAGCTTTGAGAACCCACGTCAGTCGCTGAAAACTCACCGTAAAACCCACAGTTTAAGTTCCCCGATCAGACAGACTGCCTCTGAACAGACATGTTCAGATGAGAGATGTTTCCCAGCTGTGTTTTCGTCGTTTCAGCATCTGTTTGGCTTTCTTGCAAACGTCACCCCCCCTTCTTCTTCTTCGTCTTCTTGAATTTCCGGCAGACTGCACACAGAGCTGTATTGCTGCAGTCCTCCAATAGTGCAAGACCAGAATATGCTAAGAACTTAAGGACGGCCCCTTTAATTGTTGATTTGTTTAGGTTTTAATTTGAGTTTGAGTGAAATGATGAACAACCTGTTTTGAATGTATATGTGAACAAATTCCTTCTTTGAGCCTCATATTTACAACACTCCAGTAATACATGCCCAACAGACTCAGGTTCCCAGCATTGATCACACAGCTCATCTTTATGTTTGCCGATTTGCTGAAGAACTTGGCAAAGCCACGATGACCAAGTTTGAGTCTTGTGAGAATGACTTGCTCGTTACGATCCCAAAATCTCCCACCAAAGGTCTGCCAACTCTCTCTTTTAGCTTTTTGAATCGCCTTCTCTCAAACACAAGACTCTCAATAGGGTTTTTCCTCAACTTCTTAAACACCTTATTGTGTGCATTTACTGCATCACTACCGTCCTGATTGCACCAAAGGACTGTCTAATTCTTCCTTTGCTTTGTCGACCTCCTCTATCCCAGCTGACAAATGCTTCAACAGACAGCTGCCAGACTTTTCGGTTGACCACAGGGCGCTGCTGATTGGTCAGTTTAGTTCCGTCTGATTTTACCGTAATAACTGACGGACGTGAGTTTTTCTGAAACTCATGCTTATATATTTTATGACAACAATAATGTGTAAAAAAAAAAAAAAACAACCATGAAGGGGCCAAACTTCCAAAGTTGTAAAAAGAAAAGTGTGCTATGCGCACTTTTCAGTTTTTAAAACGAACGTGATGACGTTACCATAAGTTTTCTGCGTGCGGCTCATAGAGGAAGCGAAAGTGCTCTATTTCCGCTGCAGCAGCGACAAAACGAGCACGTCAAAAATAAAAGAAAATGTGGACGGCGAGGGCAAAGTGAGGCCGGACAAAGAGACGTCGACCGACAAGCCGTTCCCTTCCTGAGGCATCGTTACCAGGCAACTGTTTTTGTTCGACGTTCGCCGCCGAGTACTCGACGGTTGAAGGGTCGCTTCAGAGGTGAACGCGTCCCCCCTTTTGTTGGTTGCTCGTTTGAGGAAGCAACAACTCAGCTAGTCCGCCGAATTAGCCATCCCGCTAGAGATGGGGACTAGAGCAAGTCGACTACAGGAGGACCCGGTTCCCTCTCCTTTCGGGAAGGATGGCACAAAGCGGGACTCCTATCGGCGGCCTCGCTGTGCCAGGCCCACCAGTCTGGTCGTCGACTTTTCTGTTAGTTTCGAGGACACGGAGGCCAACCGGAGCCGGTCGGAGGAGGGCAGTGACTCGGACATGGGCCAGCACGGAGCCAGCGCCGACGGCAGTCCCTCCGACCACCCGGGCATCTCCTCCAGCGTCACCCAGACCCCCCCCTCGGACGATAACAACAGCGAGGGGAAACCCGAGGACGAGGGCAGTGCCACCCCGGAGGCTCCCGCCGGCGCAGAACACCAACCCGGGGAGGAGACAGGCCGCACGCCCCACCGCACTTTTTCCGAGAGGCTCCCCGGGAATCGGCACTCTTCCGCCCGCAGCGTTGGCGCAAGGTCGGCCCGGGTCCGCGGCACCCACCAGCGGCCGGTGTCAGAGGCTTGGATCGGCCTGTATCGTGTCAACAACCGACACGGCAGTAAGTATTTTTGCATCCACTATCTGTGGCTCCAATGTGCGTCATTTTCATTTTTAGTGACGCATAAATAAATCAGATCTAAATATATGTTTTGTCCTTCAGGACACTTTTTTTTTTTAAACCGTTAATGACCATGCGCAGCAGGCACGCCACATTATTTGTGTCGACTTGTCAGTATGAGTCAAAATGTCTCAGGTAACACTGAAATATGATTAAGTTAGTTACTTAGAATTCGTGTTGCGATAAGACTTCAATTTCCAGTAAAATCAGGGGGTTGTCAGACGAGTCACACAGGGGTTATTTGATTAAAAATATAGCTTAAATCCAAACATGAATTACTCAAAAGAAGCCTTTATGGCCAATATAAACGTCGTCTTCATTACAATATGGCTCCATCAAACCCTAAATCAACCCATTCTGAAATTAAAATGGATTATTTGTGGAATTTACATTCCTGAACAGATAATCTCTTTTCCTGTGCTTGCATGCTGACTAAAATCCTCAGAGACCCCATTGTCTGCAGCCGAGCCGTGGCGTAAAACTGGAAGTGGTGACATAGAACCTCTTTAATGTCACAAGGCCTGTTGACAGTGGCCGACGGTGATGGTCTTGCAGCATGCAAGGCGGAAAGCACGAAGTCGCTTCCCTCTGCGTTAAAGAGGGAACTTGTGAGAATGCACACTCTGTGCATGTTAGATAATCAGATACAGAGATGGCAGCGATGTGACATCAAACATGACATTTTGAGCCAAAACACTACAATGTGTGGGGTTTCCCAGGCCAGCCCTCTAGCAAGTGTAGGGAAGTGGGTCACAACCAGACATGCCCGCTCGATGTTGGCAGCGGCACGGAGGAGGAGGCGGTGGGGGGGGGAATGTAGGGCAGCAAGGCATGTTTCTGCCTGGCTGTCACATCCAGGAATGGCTCTTGTGGTGGCTATCCCCGAGGCCTGAGTCACTGTTTTCAGTGCCGCTTCCAGTCAGATGAAGCTATTTAAGGTCAGTTTGAGTAACGTCTTCCGCGCCGTCTCGTGGAGGAGACGGCATTTTCCGCCTGTCTGCCTGGCTTTTAGTCTTCCCCTCTGTCTGCGGTCAGTCTAATGTACATGTCCAAACATGGTATGCGTGCTTGTTGTGGCGTGCACATCATCTATCGTGTATGTATCCGGGCTACAGCGTGGTAATCTCAGCTCTGTTGTGTCCCCGGCGTGGCAGATATCCGCTGTCCTTTCTGCTCAAAGCCTTTCCCGGGGGGTCGGATCGAGGATCACCTGTTGAGCTGCCTCACATCTCCTCCCCTACCTTACAATAGTAAGTATCGTATCACAAACGGCTCCCGACAGCTGTGTGTTTTGTAAGGCTGGTGCCCTGACAGTAGCTTTGTTTGTGTGTTTACAGCGGACGTGCTGAGTAAAGACACTGGGGAGTGCTCCATCTGTCTGGAGGACCTGGTGCAGGGGGAGACAATCGCCAGGCTGGCTTGCCTCTGCGTCTACCACAAGAGGTAACTAAGTTTAACGTGAGCGTTTCATGAAAAGCACAATGCAGGGTGGGTAGAGTTAAACCTGACTGCGGTGGGCAAATGTAGCTGCCTTTAACAGAGTGGAGAACATGTGGCGGCTGAGGTTTTTTTTTTATTGAGGAAGAAGCTGGTTTTGGACTTGACAAAGCAACAACCACATTTCTGAGCAATCTACTCGTGTTTCCTTTTTCCCACATACTGATTATGTAAAGCTATCTCCTTCAGGATTGGATTCAGTTCATCTTAGAAGAATAGAATATGAAATCATTTGAAGCAAAGTTTATAATTGAAAAGAAATCCCCCTGTTTTTGCTGTTTGGTTTCCCTCAAGGCCTGTTACGCTTCCCAGAAAGAGCTTTTATGACTATAAAAACATCATTACATCTCAACCAGGCATGGTCACAGATCTATCGGGTTTGTCAGCAAATAACTGCTGGGCAGTCAGGACGTCCAGGAAAAACAAAATGACTCTGAAGTGCTGTAAGGACCACCGTTGTGCGTTTGCTAGATTCGGTCCATTTGCCGCAGAAAACCTTGACATTTTAAGAGCGTGCTGTAATGTTCAGCTCTGGCTGAAGTCGGTTGTAGGCCAGGGCTCATAGGTGGGGCTGTGCAGAATTCAGATTTTAGTCCGCCCAGTTGAGCCACTGCGATGTGGAGAAGAGCCTCAGAGGCAAAACCGTAAAACATCTGCAAACAATCACACACAAGCTGTTTTTTGTTTTGGTTTAACAAGTAAATTCTCATCATAAAGGAGATCTGTCCATAGGTATTCATCAGATATATTGGGACATTTTTGCTTATGTTTCATGGGATTAGGAATCTACTATTTCCCTTGAACTACAGAGCAGTCACTTGATTACTTAAATGACCAAAATTATATAAAGGTTTAATATTCCCGAGTGAAGTGGGCGATTTATCTTCTTCATACATCTTTGTCTTTCATCTGTTTTTCTCTCAGAAACCTACATATCTGGCAATGGAAGAAGAGTTTTTTGTAAAAAAAAAAAAAAAATTGCATCTTTGTTTTCGAGCTGTTAGTCATTTCAGACCCGTTTCAGTCTTGGCTCCCACTCAGTCTCTGTTATAATTTAGAAATCAATGTGAACTTCCACAGTGCTTTTTTGGGATCTGCTCTGCGTGGAATCAGGATTTAAGGATAATTTCTGATAAGCATAGACACGGACCAAAGAAATAACACCCTACCACTGTTTGGAAAGACCCCTAACAGTCCCCAGTTTTTACTCAATCGAATGATTGCATGAATTTTGTTTTTGCTCCTTCTGACTTGAACCTGTTCATGTTCAGTTAACCACATGAACACGAGTCAAAGAGCCTGCCTCTCCTAAACCTGCCCTGTCTCCCTGCAGCTGCATTGATTCCTGGTCCAAAGTGAAGCCCTGCTGCCCCGAACACCCCTTTGATTGACTCGCAGGTCACATGTGTTCAGCCCGGTGACCAACTCGACTCAGGTATGCACGTCTCCTACTGCCCAGTTAGCTGATCATCATTTATATCAGCTGGTGCATTTAACCCTTTAACGCCTCCTGAATCACTTTGGAATCTCAGGTTTCTAGGACCTGCAGTGTGATCTTATCCATAAAAAACAGTAACAGAGAATATTCCCTCTTTTGTGCATTTTTGTTTAAAAATATTGATTAAATATCATCTTTTTCAGGGGGCTTAAAAGGGTTGAATGTTGCAACATGATTCATGTGGTTCTTGCATTTTGGATGAGCTGATGTGTTCAGGATGAATAGGTTTTGGTTCCTAAATTAATATAAAAAGGGTTTTCAGGTTAATCAAAAGTCTGAAATAATCTGGAATAGTTTAGTTTTTATTGGAAACCATTCCTCATTCAGATTAAATCTGCAAGTACATGTTCAACTTCCAGCCAAAAGCTAAATAAGCTGCTTAAAGTGTTGTTGGCCTCCTCCACTATGTGACTGACTCCAGTATTAAGGAACCAAACCCAGTTAGCTCTGTGTCCTCTTCCCTCAAATGCTGGTAAATCTTTAATCCTCCCACTCATCTCTTGGGTCCTGTAATGATCTGCTTGTTCTTGTTTCACGCTAAAAAAAAAGGAAAAAAAGGCACATTTAAATGAGGGTTGAAACGGCATCTAACTCAGTGAAAACAAGCCGATTAAATTCTTTCCCACTGGCTCTCACTATTCCCAGAGCTGTGAGTTGCGTCTGTTTACGGCCTCCCACAGGACGTCCACGCTGGGCTGTGGAGAAAAATATTCTGATAAGCACGGCCTGCTCAGATAGTTAGCGGAGCTGGTTATTTTGGCTAACCTGAGAGAGGCCAGGCAGTGAAAATGACGAGCCGCGTCTCTTTCAGCTAAAACTGCTGCCATCCGTTTCAGAGCCGCAGAAGGAGTTAAACTGGTGCTTCTGTAAAAAAGAGAAGAAAAACGAGAGCAGAGTGGGGCTGCGTGGGCACCTGGGTGCTTTGTTCTAGCTGAAACCACAGCAGACTGAAAACCCAACACAGTTATGTGAGCTGATTGAATGCTTTCCCACTGAGGCCAGATGTTTGCCAGGCTCAAGTACAAAACATAATTAGAATCTTCTGTAGATCAGGAAGTCTTGGCTCCGCCCCCAAAACGCCACCCGGCGCCCCTTTGAGCTACAAACTAAAAGCAACAAAATTATGTCATGTTGAAAAATTCATAAATGCCCTCGAATTCAAGACAATTACGATGCAGCTCAATGTCCTCTAATAGAATCTCAACTGATCCAATTCACATCACGGGAATTCCTAATGGAAATCGAATGAAACCAGTGGATTCATCAATATTGGTCTTTGATTTAGTCCTCGTGTTTTTGGGGTTTGTCCAAACTTTCAGTTGCATGAGAGAAAAATCCCCAAAACATCCAGTCTTTTCAAACTGAAGAACCAGTTGTTTTTTTTATAAATTGGGGTAAAAATGTTTTATTTTCATTTGCACATGTTGAACTAATGAAGTGACTTTTCTCCCATTTGAACAGCTTCATTTCAGCCTTTTTTTTTTTACTAATTTGTCTAATATTCTGTCCATTTGTCACCTCTCTGTAGGAGACTACACTGAATCTGAACAAAATCCCAATAAAAATGTGTAATTGAACAAAGAAAACTCCGCTGTCCCTCAAACGTCTGAGTGGAGAAGCAGCCGGACGCTGCGCCGCTCCTCGTGCCAAACCTCAACTCTCAAATCCGGAGACTCCTGAAGAGCCGGCGCCCCCGTGGACTCCAAATAGCGGCGCTTCTAAATATTATCACCTCCAAACCGTGGAACCCGGTGGTGGGGGGGGGGGCTCCACCCTGACTGTGTACTTTCCCCCTTCTGAGCGGGATCACTCATCTTATCAAGTGTTTTGCAAAAAAAAGAGTTCAGTTCCTCGTCATACATGGGATGAATGTTCCGCTGCC